CCCTCATGTCTGCTTTCATTCTTCTGTGGTACACACAAAAAAGAAGTTTTGAATAATATTCACTCTTCAATACAAAGAAATGGGGACCAAAAAGGGTTAAAAAAGCACCTAACAATATCATAAAAGTGGTCCATATGACTCATGTGCTGTATTCCAGGTTTTAGGAAGCCATTTGACATACTGACATTTAAGTAATTATTCCTTGGTCACTACTCACTTTCATTATGGAAAAGAGCAGCTTGGACATTCTGCTTAACGTCTCCTTTTGTGTTCCACTGATAGGAAAGGAAGTCATACAGATTTTGAAAAACATGAGGGTGACCGAATCTTTTTTTGGTGATATATTCCTTTAATATTTTTTCTATCATATTTTCTATCAAATATATGTATCAAAATATAAAAATTTGCTCTGCTTCTGAAATATCTCATTTCTGGCTGATGCCACCAATGATCTTTATTTTTCAAAATGTCCCCTCCAACCACCTGCCTTATGAGACAACTTTTCACAATTCAGTTAATACCCTCTAGATAAAACCATGCCCTGCATGTTTTATTGCTGAATATCCTGTTTTATTCAGAAATGTTGTATTACAACAAAGTAAAATGTTTTTCACATTGACTAAAATTTCTGCATTGCTATCAGGACTCTGTAATTTGTGTTTTCTCTTGAAAGCTCAACTAACAAAAGTGGAATGGAAAGTAAATTCTGACACAATGATTTTAAGGGTTCAGAAACTGACTTGAATTGAACTGAATGTCTGACTGAATCTGTCAAAATCCTCCTAGTGGGAAGCAAATGTAAAAGCCTTGTATCCATTGACTTGTTTGCACTTATGCAGGAAGGCTTATAGCATTTACATGTTGTGGTACTCGTGAGAAAATCCAGCGTCTTCAGTATTTTAATTGAACATTTCTCATCTGGTAAACACAAGAGTAAAACATTGAAGAAATATTTACATAGCGTTATTTTTATGTTGTGGTACTCATGAGAAAATACAGCATCTTCAGTATTTTAATTTAACATTTCTCATATCTGGTAAACAAATTGGTAAAATATTGAGGAAATATTTACATGGCATTGTTTTTATTCAAATTATTGTCAGCATCTAGCCTATGTGTGAGATAAGCTGGTGAGATAATGTGTATCATAGGTATGACCAGACATAAAGGGATAGTTCACCCTCACCTTCATGTCATTCCAAACACATTTTGAAAAATGTTGCAGTGTTTGTGCATACAGTGAACGGCCATGGGATCCAGTGTTGTTTTGACCCCAACATTCATCAAAATATCTTGTTTAGTGTTCAGAAGAAAGAAAACCATGCAGGTTTGTATTGACATGAGGGTAAGTAAATGATGACAGAAAGTTCATTTTTGGGTGAAATGTCCCTTTAAGACTTTAAGACGACAAACATCTTTCTATCAACAATAGTGCTCACATACTTACATTCTGACTCCACACTTGTTTTCTTCCACAGTTCTTTGCCATTTGCCCCAGGCCTGATTCCTGTTCATGAATATGGGGCATTTTCAGCACTTTAATATTATACTGCACTCTTCAGCAGAACCTCATTTTACTTTTACATTACTTCTCTCTACCTGTATGGTGTCAGATATTACTTAAAAAGCTTATCATCCAATAAATAAATTATGTTGTTTAGAACAGCGGTCTCAAATAATCTTTATGGTACTGAGGGGATGCGAGTATTAATCCTTAAGAGATGCAGTTCAGGGGATGTATGTCATAAAAAGATATAGCCAATTTACACCAGCTTTACTAGAATTCCCACAGGGACTCCACTCCCATCCTAGCAGACTAGATTGGCCCTTTCAGCCTCACTTCTCTCTCTTGCTCGCTCCCTCTCTCACTTTCCCTTCCTTTCACTCTTGTCTGGCAAGTTTCCATGGAAACAAAGGGTAGGGAGAAGACCCTAATGAGTAAGTGTTACGGTTCTCTTCAAATTCTTTTAATACACTACCAGTCACAAGTTTGGAATAATTTATAGCTAGCTAGATAGCTTGATTTTAAATTACAACAATATTTCACAATATTACTTTTTTTCATTTTTTTTTTTTACTGTATTTTTAGATCCAGTGAATGCCTTGGTGAGCAAAAGGGCCTGTTTTTTTGTTTTCAAAAACATAATAAATTATTTTTTTTAATTATTCCAAACTTTTTGCTGGTAGTTTATGTTCGTCTGACCTAACTAAAAACTTATTTGACGGATATTATCAACACTTTAGCCCTCTATTGTTTCACAAAGTAGCCACAGATTTTTAAAAAAGTTATTTTTCAGTATATTTTCTATTAATCATGGCAGCGGTAATTCATAAAAATATCAAATGATAGGGAAGAGTGTTATATTCAAGCATATATCATGGATGCACATATATAGAGCACACTTTTGGCATTTTAAACCACTGATTCAGCATCTTCCACAACTTTGCACTCCCACTTGGCCTGTAAACTGAACTGTGCTGTGTAAAGTGCATTCGGCACAATTTCTTAAACATGTTTGGACTGTTACCTGATTTGCATAATTCCTTTAGTGAATGAGGTGCCGAACCATTTTAGACTGCACATGCAAATGATGCTATCAGCAGGTGCAATTCATTCTTAGTGAATTCTCCCCTTGAAATATCAACCCTATACTTCAATGTTATGTATGTTTTTATACTAACCAAACATGAGGGTTAAATCAGTGTCGTTTATTTCTTATTTCACTCATTGAAATTCCAGTGGTGTTCAGTTGAAAAGTCATAGTAATGTAAAAGTAAATAACCACCTCAGCATGCAGTCACTCCATACACACTCTTCTCACACACTCCAGGAGCTGAGGCTGCAAACCTCGTAATTATATAATTCACAGCATCCAAAAGCTATACTCCACACCTCTTAGCATGTGTGAAATTAGCGTGTGTGCTCCCCGTTGATATGCTGGCATATAACAGAGAGAGAACAAGCAAAGAAAGAGAAACAAAACTAGGCCTGTTTGGTCAATTTGCTTACTACACGGGGAATCTTTTATAAATCATTTAGTTTTGACATGCATGCTGTAACTGCATTTTTGAAGGTCACTGTCTTTCAGAGTGCAAATATAGGCAAGCTTATGTACTGATGTGTTTGCCGATCGTGTGTGTGTGTGAAGCAGCTGTTGGCTTACAAGCTCTCTGGTAGTGATCCTCTACATAAGTTTATAAGCGAGCTAGCTTTACACTACAGTGGTCACACTGTCCCCTGAGCAGAGAGCCTAACACACACACACACACATACACAAGTGAACAAAGCCCTCAATGGACTAGCCAGGAGCTAAAGGGAAAGGGGCCTTAGGGAGCCCATACCTAGCGCTGTGAGCTAACAAATCCAGCGACCTGATGGAATAACAGAGAAATTCTGAGAAATTCAATTCTGAGAGTTACAGAGAAAATCAGTGCAGCCAAATACTTATATTTCAACTGCACAACAAATTACATTTGAGTCCCTCAGTTAGAGATGTCTGTGCGGCTTACGACCACTGATAAGCAAAGAATAACGCAAATGCTCATGGTCCAATTTCCCCTCAGTCTTAGACAGTTTTTATTGTAACTGCTCACTGAATTGTTTAAAATTAACCGGTCAGATTTGTATCCTAATGATGTGTTGTGTGATTTAAATGTCTTGGAGTCTTATTACTGATGTAAAGAATTTGAAACAATTACATTTAACAGTGCAATAAAACAATGGTGTTTAAGATTGTTACACTTGCCATCTTCTAGTTCCTCTGCCTTGATGTTATGGGAATGTGTTTGGTTCATAGACAATTTAACATGATACTTGCATGCTAGATTGTGCAAATTGCTTGCATACTGCATGTCGCACTTGGAAATGTTTTTTTCTTTACAATAATAAATTGTGAACTTTAATCAAATGCCTTTTAATTATAGCTCAATTCAGTATTCAATAAATGGCAATAAAACAAGTCTAAGTAACTCAATTAAATCTCTAGCTGCATGCTATAGCATGTTAGATGTAATGTTTTTTTTAACCACATGTAATATATGGTGTTGGTGCAATGCAAAAAATAATTTTCTTACTCCGTATTTTTGTCTTATTTTCCAGTATATATATCTAAACATTCTTAAATCAAGATACATATACCTGAGATGCAAAATAATTTAAAGTATTAAGTCTTTAAAAATTAAGAGAGTTTATGCCTAAAACAACCCTCAAAATACCTAGAAAATTTGAAAAATTCAAAATGGCTAAAAAACTGAATTCAAATAAAAAACAAGGTTAGAAAGAAAGAAAGCTCATAAATAAAGGTAATTTTATCCCATTGGCAGATATTTGTTCTTGTTTTCAGCATAAGATTAAGAAATGTTTTATAAGTATTTTTATTGTCATTTTCTAGTTAACTACTGTTAACAAATGGAAGCTTATTGTAAAGTGTTTCCGATTTCTTTTTGAGAAAGGCAACAAAACTTCGCTTCAATTTTCGCCACAATAATAACCCCAAAACTCCACTATATGAGAGAAAGGCTGCAAAATCCCAACATAGCTGAACAATGAACATTAAATATTGAGTTTCTACTTTTTCATCTTGCTTAAAAACACATGAAATAACACTTAATTTCAACATTTACTCCCCCCATCCAGCCCCACGCAATGCACGTTGGGAACTAGAAATCCCCTTTCCAGATTCAGCAAAGCTGCATTAATGTTAAGGAAATTATTAATGTGGTTCCAATACAAATGGATTATGTAATCCGCTATTTTACCAATTTACCAAGTACTGTAGATTGTGAAGACATTTTTACGAATTGTGTCGCTGTAGCCCATTTTAATTAAGTAGAAAAAAAGTGCATGGGACAAATTAGATTTTATTGAGGGTTCACGTCCCCAAGCTTATTCTTCACTGTTCTCTTTAAAAAACCGACCCATGAGCAATGGTAAATCACAGCAGTTGTTGTGTATTGCAGTGCAGGATCTAATGCTTGCTTTTTCTCTGTTTGATCCACAGATTGTGATCTTCACTAACTCCCCTAACAGGCGGGAGATGGCGATGATGCTTGAGCTTGAGTTTGCCTACGCCTTCTTACAAGCGCACTGAAGTGTCTAAAGTCTTCCCTTTAGCACGGCTTGAGCCCAATCCCTTTCCAACAAGTGAGACTGCTAAATAGGGATTGACCTGTAAAGTGTCCAGATCTTTGAGCACCATGGCTCAGAGGTCAACTCATTTCAGAGCTCACGGTCCCTCCTGGCCGCTTCATCTCACTCTACTGCTGCTTCTATTGGCCAGGACACACCAAGCTTTGGCTATCCCAGGTTACAACACTGACACTTCCAAGAAAGAGATCATAATCGAGGGGGACCTGGTGATTGGAGGCCTGTTTCCTGTTCATCAAAAGGGGGAGGGGGCTCAGGACTGTGGCCGAATCAATGCACAAAGAGGGATTCAGAGACTGGAGGCGATGCTGCTAGCCCTAGACAAGATCAATCAAGATGATCAGATTTTGCCCGGGGTAACGTTAGGTGCCCACATTCTGGACACTTGCTCTAAAGACACGTACGCACTGGAGCAGTCACTTGAATTTGTGCGCGCTTCGCTTACGAAAGTGGATGATAGTGAGTACACGTGCCCGGATGGATCCTACGCCATCCATGACGATGTTCCACTTGCAATCTCTGGAGTGATTGGAGGCTCCTACAGTGATGTATCCATACAGGTACTGTTTCCCGTCTCCTATGTTAATTAATCTGCTTGTTTGTTTTCTTCCAGCAAAATTTCCTGATAATCAGATAATATGTCGTGATGTAACAAGTCATAAATGTGCATGAGGATTCATTTGCATGTATATTATGTTTATCACACTATGGCTGTCATTCAGCCGTATGCACAAACCTGCCGTTTAATTCAGTTAACCCTAACCCAGTTAACTAAGCCTTTAAGTGTCAACTTACTAAGTCATATTTTTGGGAGTGAAAACTGACATTTATATGTATTTTATGTGAGTTTTCTGCTATACTGTTATAAAGATTTACAAGGTGTCCGAAATTCTTTTTGGCTATATAAATATCAGAAACTGCACCAAATTGAAAATTTTACTCAGTATGGGCCTCTGAATATAGTTATTTTTTCTTCTGGAGTTTAAACTCCATTTTCTTCTTTATCGTGTATGAGCCATGAAAGCCTGATGTATCAAATATGATACTCAACAAAAACACATATGCATTTTTTTTTTAAAGATTTTATCTAAAGGTTCAATAAACGGTTCTATTTTTAAATATAATTTTATATATTATTTCAAGACTTTTAACATTTTAACCATTTTAATATTTGTATTTTTTATGCCAGGCTTTACAGGGTTAAGCAAACAAGAAGATAATAATGTTTTTTTTTTTTTAAATTTAAGGGGGTCTGAATACTTTCCGTACCCACTGTATATATTAGTGTGAACATAACTAGATATCTTTCACTTTTAAAATCTCTCTTCTGTGGGTTCATACTGCAGCATTTAGTAAGACAAATTTGCAGTCTCTTAATGAGAAAGAATAGTGCTAATGTCTGGCTACCTGTCATCCATATGCTCAACCCATCCAATTTGCGACCAACCATGTGGCGGTGTTTCCTGACATTCACTGGGATGTCAGGAGCAGACGGGCTGCAGATGCTAGCTTTAAGGAATCAGGACAGTGACAGCTTGATTACACTCTCCACAGATCTGCTCTCTGAAGATCTAAGTATGCTAAAGAGAGAGTGACACTGAAGAAAAAGTGTAAAATGCGTAATAAATTGACTTGATCAACATTCCAACATTATGAAAGTTCATGCACTAATGAAAGTTCATATATACTCTATCATGGAAAAATCAGACTAGAAGGCAGCTGTGCTAGCGGATATTTGCTGCATTCCTGAAACCTTTATAGTATATTTTGTATCAAAAACTAAAAATAATTTATAGCATTTTAGTTCAGTTTGTTTTTGCAGTTATTCTAGTTGTTATTTGTATTTTAATTGATAACGATGCTTTTAATTTAATTTAGCTTTTGTTAATGACATTGCATCCAACATTATTTGTGCCACAGATATAAATTGTGTGGCTTTTTGAGGAGCGGTATAATGTTTTTTTTCTAAGTAACCCTTCGGTTACACAACAAGAACAAATGCCAAATTTGTCATGGACATCGAACTTGGAGCAATGCATCGTGGCATGCCAAGGTTGAAAATGTGCATATTTTCCTCACACAATGATATTGTATGGATTCAAAAACGAATGGAATATAGCACATAATAGTATATATAATAAGTGTGTGGGGGGGGGTACTTCTTTAAAGGAAATTATGGTTATGGAAATTATGGCGGGAAAATGGCACAGGAACAGGGAATCCCCAGTGACATGCTTTAGAAGATGGCGGCTAGATGAGTCTCACTCACACTAACCCTTCAAAAAAGAGCTCTCTCTACTGCCCAGTGTCCCTTAATAGCATGCGGAAAGAAACCGTGCATGCGACATATGCGTGAAACACCCCAACAGACTCCTGACATGAAGAAAACAGGAAGATAAGCAAGATAAATAAAAACAACGAATAGAGACTAAAGGAAAAAGCAAAGCAAAAACGAGTGGGAGAGGAAAGGAATTTCTGTACAATGATGAAATAAAATTTCATACACTCAACTCTCTCTCTTTCTTCTTGTCTATTTTTTTCTGCATTATTAATGCATTCCGTGTCCCTGTGAGGGCACTGCAGTAATTATGAGAATGAACAAATTTCTCCATCTCAGCTAATGACTCATATACTTTAACCAGAGCATGTATCTGACTGTCAATGATTTGAATGTGTTATTTAAAATCCTCCATTCATTAGCCAACACTGTTCTGTTGGGGGGATAAATAGTTAACTTGTTATTTAATTTCAGTAAGGCTTAAATTGTCAAATGTACTATTGGTAACAAGCACCTAATTACCTGTCACACCAAAAGCAACAATTCAAGAATTTTACAGTAATAAGGCAAGAAATCTCTCTCTCTCTCTCTCTCCAACCCCCCCCATTTTTAGAAGAAAGAAGGTTCTTTTTGCCAATTATATTTTTTTTACTGTGTGAAAATCATAAGTTCATTTTTGTGCCATTCATAATGTAATTGAAAATACCTTTTAAATTCTTGAATTTGAATTGAAGTAGAAAACAGTATGCAAAACTGTAAATGTAAGGAAGTAAAATTAAAATAATTAAAAAATCTAAATAAAACTTAAATTCAAAGAAAAGTTATTTTTTCTTCTGGAGTTTAAACTCCATTTTCTTCTTTATCGTGTATGAGCCATGAAAGCCTGATGTATCAAATATGATACTCAACAAAAACACATATGCATTTTTTTTTTTAAGATTTTATCTAAAGGTTCAATAAACGGTTCTATTTTTAAATATAATTTTATTTATTATTTCAAGACTTTTAACATTTTAACCATTTTAATATTTGTATTTTTTATGCCAGGCTTTACAGGGTTAAGCAAACAAGAAGATAATAATGTTTTTTTTTTTTTAAGTTTTGAGTTATTTTTTTTTTTCACAAACCTGCCGTTTAATTCAGTTAACCCTAACCCAGTTAACTAAGCCTTTAAGTGTCAACTTACTAAGTCATATTTTTGGGAGTGAAAACTGACATTTATATGTATTTTATGTGAGTTTTCTGCTATACTGTTATAAAGATTTACAAGGTGTCCGAAATTCTTTTTGGCTATATAAATATCAGAAACTGCACCAAATTGAAAATTTTACTCAGTATGGGCCTCTGAATATAGTTATTTTTTCTTCTGGAGTTTAAACTAACTCCATTTCTTTATCGTGTATGAGCCATGAAAGCCTGATGTATCAAATATGATACTCAACAAAAACACATATGCATTTTTTTTTTAAAGATTTTATCTAAAGGTTCAATAAACGGTTCTATTTTTAAATATAATTTTATATATTATTTCAAGACTTTTAACATTTTAACCATTTTAATATTTGTATTTTTTATGCCAGGCTTTACAGGGTTAAGCAAACAAGAAGATAATAATGTTTTTTTTTTTTTAAGTTTTGAGTTACTTTGTTTTTCCGTCTGTAACAAAAATAGTTCTAAACAAAGAACCGTTATGTATCTATAAGCAACACAATATGGTGTTTCATTCCTGAGCAATTTTGTGTTTATATTTTGTGTTTATATATATATACAGTGGGTACGGAAAGTATTCAGACCCCCTTAAATTTTTCACTCTTTGTTATATTGCAGCCATTTGCTAAAATCATTTAAGTAATTTTTTTTTCCTCATTAATGTACACACAGCACCCCATATTGACAGAAAAACACAGAATTGTTGACATCTTTGCAGATTTATTAAAAAAGAAAAACGGAAATATCACATGGTCCTAAGTATTCAGACCCTTTGCTCAGTATTTAGTAGAAGCACCCTTTTGATCTAATACAGCCATGAGTCTTTTTGGGAAAGATACAACAAGTTTTTCACACCTGGATTTGGCGATCCTCTGCCATTCCTCCTTGCAGATCCTCTCCAGTTCTGTCAGGTTGGATGGTAAACGTTCGTGGACAGCCATTTTTAGGTCTCTCCAGAGATGCTCAACTGGGTTTAAGTCAGGGCTCTGGCTGGGCCATTCAAGAACAGTCACAGAGTTGTTGTGAAGCCACTCCTTCGTTATTTTAGCTGTGTGCTTAGGGTCATTGTCTTGTTGGAAGGTAAACCTTAGTTCCAGTCTGAGGTCCTGAGCACTCTGGAGAAGGTTTTCATCCAGGATATCCCTGTACTTGGCCGCATTCAACTTTCCCTCGATTGCAACCAGTCGTCCTGTCCCTGCAGCTGAAAAACACCCCCACAGCATGATGCTGCCACCACCATGCTTCACTGTTGGGACTGTATTGGACAGGTGCCTGGTTTTCTCCACACATACCGCTTAGAATTAAGGCCAAAAAGTTCTATCTTGGTCTCATCAGACCAGAGAATCTTATTTCTCACCATCTTGGAGTCCTTCAGGTGTTTTTTTAGCAAACTCCATGCGGGCTTTCATGTGTCTTGAACTGAGGAGAGGCTTCCGTCGGGCCACTCTGCCATAAAGCCCCGACTGGTGGAGGGCTGCAGTGATGGTTGACTTTCTACAACTTTCTCCCATCTCCCGACTGCATCTCTGGAGCTCAGCCACAGTGATCTTTGGGTTCTTCTTTACCTCTCTCACCAAGGCTCTTCTCCCCCGATAGCTCAGTTTGGCCAGACGGCCAGCTCTAGGAAGGGTTCTGGTCATCCCAAACGTCTTCCATTTAAGGATTATGGAGGCCACCGTGCTCTTAGGAACCTTAAGTGCAGCAGAAATTTTTCTGTAACCTTGGCCAGATCTGTGCCTTGCCACAATTCTGTCTCTGAGCTCTTCAGGCAATTCCTTTGACCTCATGATTCTCATTTGCTCTGACATGCACTGTGAGCTGTAAGGTCTTATATAGACAGGTGTGTGGCTTTCCTAATCAAGTCCAATCAGTATAATCAAACACAGCTGGACTCAAATGAAGGTGTAGAACCATCTCAAGGATGATCAGAACAAATGGACAGCACCTGAGTTAAATATATGAGTGTCACAGCAAAGGGTCTGAATACTTAAGACCATGTGATATTTCAGTTTTTCTTTTTTAATAAATCTGCAAAAATGTCAACAAATCTGTGTTTTTCTGTCAATATGGGGTGCTATGTGTACATTAATGAGGAAAAAAAATTAACTTAAATGATTTTAGCAAATGGCTGCAATATAACAAAAAGTGAAAAATTTAAGGGGGTCTGAATACTTTCCGTACCCACTGTAACCTCTAAATATGGTGGTTTTTTTCTGGCGGTATTTTGTGATTTATGGAGCGATTAAAAGAGAGATCCCCTCAGTAAAAGCCTTTAACTCTAATATGTAAAAAAAAAATTGGACCAGGCTTTACCCCCCCCATTTTTAGAAGAAAGAAGGTTCTTTTTGCCAATTATATTTTTTTTACTGTGTGAAAATCATAAGTTCATTTTTGTGCCATTCATAATGTAATTGAAAATACCTTTTAAATTCTTGAATTTGAATTGAAGTAGAAAACAGTATGCAAAACTGTAAATGTAAGGAAGTAAAATTAAAATAATTAAAAAATCTAAATAAAACTTAAATTCAAAGAAAGTCATATAATTGATTTGGATAATTTATGTAAATGAAATACATTTAAAATGCAATCAAAAATAATTAATAGTAAAATAATTAATTTTGAATGAAGTAAATTTATTTTAACTAAACCTCCACTGATGTTTGTATTGCCACAAATAGACTACCATTTAAAGGTTTTTAGTCAGTAAGATTGATTGATTGATTGATTGATTGATTGATTGATTTAAATGAATACATTTATTCAGCAAGGATGCATTAAATATTAAATTGTAAGTGAGAGGATTATAATAACATTAATAATTTACAAAATATTTAAAATAAATGCTGTTCTTTTGAACTTTTTATTTTTCAAAGAATCCTGAAAAACTAATTACAGTTTTGACAAAAATATCAAGCAGCACATTTCTGTATTCAACTGTATTCAACACTGATGATAATAAGAAATGTTTCTTACATTTGAAATAATAAATTAAGCTTTGTCATCAAATCAATAATTTAAATTTTAATAAATAATTTAAAAGTTATGTTAAATTATAATAATATTTAACAATATTACTGATTTTACTGTATTTTGATTAGATCGGTTCAGCCTTGCTGAACATATAAGAGACATCTTTCAAAAATATAAAAAATAATTTTACCAACCTCAAACTTTAGGGAGTTTGAAATTTAGGGAACTTTAACTCTTCATTTGCTCAATTCTGAATTTTGTAAAACCCTGATTAACCATTTAACTTTTTTTATTCAGTACACCCTCATTCTGCTCATTATTTGTGAGCTTTTGCCTTTAGAAATAACACTGGGGTTTTACAGTAAGAGTGAATAAAAATCCATTATACACTGCATTCTTTATATGCTCTTGAATGCTTTCTCACACTGTGAACTGATAACTTTGTATCCAACCATGAATTTTTAAGCTGTAAATTTTGTTCAGGGAAGTATGGCTGTGAAATGAGAGCAGGCTTATAAAGGTGAGATGCTTGACAGTAGTGTGAACTCACTGGTAGCTGCGTGGAGGGTGACTGAAACAGGCAGGAGGTTGCTTCAGGCTTTTAGAGGTTCTCGTGTTAAGACTCCACTCTCTTTTATTGGCATTCTTTCCTGTGGAGTGATAAGAATGGCGGGCTTTGACAGCACAGACGCAAAGCTAAAGAAGCTTTTAGGGCATGTGAGCGAGCAAGAGAGAGAGAGAGAGAGTCTGATGAACGAGATATAATTTTAGTTGAGGTCTGTATTTGGGGCCTTTCTCATAAAAAGTGCATGTCCTTGCCTGGCAGCTATTTATGGAGGCGCTGTTCTAAAGTGTCTGCTCCAAAGCACAGCCCCAACCCCCTAAATCTGAAACATATATCATCGGCTTGACAACACATCAAAGTTGAAGGGATGTCAACTGGTTTACAACGCAATACGTTGTTGCACAGATATTGCTGCAGAAATTTACATTTCTACACAGAATGCACTTTGTTTAGCATGTAACTGATACGTCTGATACTAAAAATATGCAGTAATTCCAGTTAAGGCCCATTGAAAAATCCTGACATAAACATGCATTCATTTTTTGTGTGTGTGTGTGCGGTTCTTCATCTTTGTAAAAGAATAAGTCATTTTGAGTGGTAGTTGTTTCATAAGTCATAGTTTTGTTTGTTGTACTTTCTTTTGTTGAACTTGCTCAGACTATCTTTTGTATCCTTCATCAAACTTTGTACTGAATTATTGATTGTTTGCAAGCAATGTTCTTTTTAAAGGTTCATTTTAAAGGAATAATTCACCCAGAAATGAAAATGCACTCACCCTCAGGCCATCCAAGATGTAGATGAGTTTGTTTCTTCATGTGAACAGATTTGGAGAAATTTAGTATTACATCACTTGTTCACAAATGGATCCTCTGCAGTGAATGGGTGCTGTCAGAATGAGAGTCAAAACAGCTAATGAAAAACCATCACAATAATCCACAAGTAATCCACACGACTCCAGTCAATCAGTTAATATCTTGTGATGTGAAAAGCTGTGTTTGTAAGAAACAAATCCATCATTAAGATGTTTTTAACTTCAAACAAGTCCTCTATCCATATTGCTTCCTCCAGTGAAAAAGTCGTCTCATCTGAATCAGGAGAGAAATAAGCACAGATCAAGCAGCGTTTACAAGCTAAAACAGTCCAAAACAGCTCTAAACAAATACTGCATGTCAGTGGATTTTAGAGTGAGATGACAACAGGGGAACCTTTTCACTGAAGGAAGTGTTATTATGGATTTTAAAGTTTTAAAGTTAAAATGCCTTGATGGATTTGTTTCTTACAAAGAAACAAACTAATCTACATCTCGGATGGCCATAGGGTGAGTACATTTTTACTTTTCTAAGAGACAGTAGCAAAATCTATTAGATGAATACACTCTTTAAATACGCTCTTTTGGTTTAGGGCCAGTATGCAGCTAATTAGCAACCATCTGAACAAATCCATCATTAAGATGTGTTTAACTTCAAATGAATCATCTATCCATAATATTTCTTCTTCCAGTGAAAAAGTCATCTGAATCAGTAGAGAGATATGCACAGATCAAGCAACATTTATGCAGCAGTATGCAGCTTATTAGCTACCACTCAGAAACCTCCTAGCTACACTGTAGCAAAAAAAAAACACAAAAAAACAATCCTCATGAACACCAACTGCATAGCAACCACCCACCCAGCCAGCCAGCCAGAGTAGTTTTCTTGAATCTCTTTGTGTTGGCCTCAAAGCTGTGATAGCTTTTCCCTGACAGCAGCCTGTTGAGTGAATCCTTGATTAATTTTCTGGCCTTAGTTCTGCTAGAGCTGTCTTGCTGGTTGGACAAAACACCTCTGGTGATATATTCAGCTGATCTCATCACCTTTCTGTGTTTTAGCTTTACACCAAGGATTGATACTGCCGGACAGAAGTCTTCCTGTAGTTTACCTGGAAAACTCCCAGCGGTGCTTTTGGCCTTCTTAATGAAGTTGCTGTTGTATGCGGGTCTCTGCATGTGAACTATGAGCTGTGAGCTTCGTTTACTTGTGATTTCTGAGTATGAGTTTCATGATGATTCACCACACTTGAGTGACTCACAGCTTTATGCAGAGATGCAGGTGTAGAACCTTCATAATTGATGTCTTATCTTGTTTCATTTCCTGGTCTAAATGTTTGCTTATGATTATTGCAATGCAATTGCAGGCATAATATTTATACTGCTTTTTAATTAATTTGTATCCGGACAAGAAGAGACATTCAAGAGGACATTGAACCAAACCGAATTCTTAACAACAATTTTCAATGCTCACGCAAAGCGCTGAATGATAATCCTATAGAAGTTGACTTGTTCTCTGAGAAAATGCTCAGAGCTCCATGTTAATTCTTGATTGTAGGCATTCTGTAACCATACCAAGGAACATTTAACCTCAGGAATAGCTAGTGATTAATTCATACTGGCAACTACAGCTTTATTCGGTCCATTGGAGTTCTCGGCTTTGTGTGACTGATAATGAAGCAGTATCCTGCACTAATGCTAACAGACTGACAACAAATAAATAAGCAAAGCAGTTCCTCAGTAATGAAATCTTTGAAATATAAAAGTCTAATGCAGATTATTTTAAACCAACAGTATAAAAAAAATGAGTTGGGTAATTGAGCGTTTCACAAGTATGGATGGGCATAGAAAGCTGAAAGTCAATTGACTGTGTTCACCATTCTTAGAGACAGTTATAAGGGCCCTCTCTGGCTGTTAGAAACATACCATTACCTCTGTCTGCATGACTGAGACCGTTTATTGGTGCCATAATGAGCAGCAGTTTATCTCTTTAAATGCTTCATCAACACTCAACGTCTGTCTGGTAAAAAAAAGAAAAAAAAGAAGCAAAACAAAGAAATTCATTTAATTATATATATAAGTATATTTTTACAAGTGTACTTTTTTGAAGTTATATATACACTACCATTTGAAAAGTTTGGGGTCAGTAAGATTTTTTTAAAGAAATTAATATTTTTAATTTAGTAAGTGTGCATTAAATTAAAATCAAAGGTGACAGTAAAGACAACAAAAAAATTATATTTCAAATTAATTCTGTTCAGCTTTGCCATCACAGGAATACATTTTAATAAATATTAAAACAGAAAACAATTATTTTAAGTTGTTGTTATTCACGATATTCAATTTTTACTGTAGTTTTAATCAAATACATGCAGCTATTGTGAGCATACAAGACTTCTTTCTAACACATTAAAAAGCAGCCCAGGCTAATTGAAAAATCGTGCTTGTAGCGAAGTTTCCACAACACAGATATTACGTACATTACTGTACGTTTTGCGGAAGTTTCAAAGTGAAATGTCTAGTGAGTGGTTCTAAAATGCATGTTCAATACATGACTGTGGCCACGTTTTTATTACGTTGGTTCAGGCATGAATTGCAGTGTTATTATTAAGTTGCTTCAAGCACATATTGCGGCGGTTCAGAATTCAAATGTCCGGTAACCTTCCCCCATAATTTGTGTGAAAAGGAAGTTGTCAGAGTTTTACTGCCTTGAGTGTTCATTTCAACTGGAAGCTGCAGTGATGCGTCCGTATGAGTTTTGCAGAAACAAAGGAAGAGGCATGTATTCCCAATGACCCTGGGTAGCTAAAAATTCTTACCAACTCCAAACTTTTGAAAAGTAGTGTATCCACATCTGATGTGTAGCTCACTGTGAACCTCAGATCAAAATGAAAAACCTTTAGGTTGTTTCGCCCACTAAAACTGCATTTAACTTTCACATTTAGACTATTACAATAATTAATCTGTGATTCATGTACTGAAGAATTGTTGAGATTATGAGAGTGAGTGCTAGGATGGTGGCTAGTGACTTTGTTGCCACCTAAAGGACACATAAAAATAAAGACCCCTGTCAGAAAGAGAGCAAGCCTGAGCAAGAGAGTCCTCTGTCAGACTGTGGGGTGAAGGATCAGAGTTAGATTAGATAGATCCTCTCCTCTCTAACCGGGTCACACTTCCAACTGACCAAACACATTCACAGCTGTTCCCTGGCAACGGAACTCTTCAAAATCCCGAATGTGGAATCCACTTCCTCTGATGTAGTGGCAAACAAAGCTGCTCAAGAGATGTCACTGCAGCATTAGTTCATCATTTATAACATTCTCTGTGTCACTATTGTCACCGTCAGCGCCGACATTGTCATTCTTCATCATCATTATCACTGATGACAGCAGCATTATCATAAATATTATTTTGGTCATCATTATCACCGCATTTAATATAATCCTTATATGGCATTCCTCACACGCATCTCTGCGTGTATGAAATAATGTATTATCCAGCACGTTATGAGGTTTTATTTATTAGGCAAGACTGCAGTTTTGAGTTGTGTTTGAATTGTGCGTGTCTTTGTGATGTGTAGTGGGGATGTGTCTTCAAAAGTAGGGTGAGACAATCTCTAGGGACAAACAGATGGGTTTTTCATGTTGAAAAAGTCATGACATCTTTATGAAAGCAGAAGAATCATGCCCATATCAATTGAGGGGCCACATACCCATATTTATTATTTATTATTTCATTTTATTTTTTCAAGAATATGTAGTGAGATTGGGATTTGAACCTGAGTCCCTTTTCAAATTATTATTTTTACCCCAAATTTTGGTCATCTAAAGCAGGGGTTTCAAAATTTTTGATTCCAAGGACCCCCAAATATGACGATCCACTAAATATAAAGGCAGCTGTATATACAATATGTATAGTATATACTGTATGTACATGTTTGAAGGTGTGAAATTATTCTAAATTAAATAGTTTGCTTTTATACTGTTACTGTACTGAAGCCAAAGCTATCTGAATAATACTGACTTTGTATTAGCTGTATCTATTTTTTTTACCCCCAAAGTATAAACCTAAAGAGAAACATATTCATTTCAAATTTATTTTTATCGACCTTTTCGCAACAAATATTGTTCCAAAGCAGTTTAACAGATAACTTTGACAGTCCTAAGAAGTACATTGTTCATGTCCATCTTTATCTTCATACTGCGTTAAATTCTGCAAAAGTGTGTTTCAATTTTTTCCCTCTACTCTGTTTATACATATTTCATAGTAACACTTTCTGTGCTTGGGAACAAATTGCTCAGTGGAGCCAGTGCTGTGTGTGATATGAAATATGGAATGAAATGTGTGATAGCACAAGCGCAGTGTGTGACATCACATGAGAGAAAAGAGCATCAGTGAGCGAGAAGTGAGTGGGAGAGAAGATGAATAGTCTATGCATTAATGAGTAGATGAGTAGTCGGATCAATTCATTCTTAAATTGTAAACAGATGGGTATTGAATATGAATGGAAAAATGTATATTTTGTCTTCTTGCTCTACATTCTTTCATTTTTGAAAACCTTCCAGATATAATGCAGTGCTGCTTTGCCCTCAGTGTGAGTCTCTCTCTGCTGTATGTTTCAGTATCTTGCGTTACAGAGGAAGCCAAAATAATAGATTTCAGTAAAGAGACTGAGAGTCATTGGACCAAGGAAATAGTGCAATATTCTATGTTATCTTCAGCTCAGCTTGGATCTTGTATAAGCAGAAGGTCCCAGAGCCTTACAAACAAGGTTACTACAGCATAATCTCTCTCTCCCTTTATCTCTCTATCAGTCTCTATTCTCCATTTTCCTCTTTTTTTTTGCCTCTGGATCGTTTCTCCTCTAAAATGTCAATATGAAGGCAGTGCAGAGAGTGTATTGATAGAGTGACTGACAGCAGGCCAGTGTTACGCAGCTGTGTAAATGAATAAGACATGAGCGCACTGTCAGACTGCAAACATGTCTTAAGGGGAAAGTTTTTACATGCTCATCAGTAAATACAAGATGCATTCCTGTGTAGGGTGTTTCATGTTATGCAGTACCTTTTGTAATATATATATAAATATATATATATGTGAGCAATACACTGCGGCCTCATGTCTACGGCCGAATCACAGCTGTGCCGATATACAGCCATATCGCACTGCTACCCGTATGATACTACATTTATACAACAGTTCGACAGCACGAATGTGTAAATACATAAGAAACAACATTGGAGTGTCTGTAAAACCCCTCTTTTGTGCAGAACTACTTAATTCCGCCACGGATTCTAATATCAGGTTACTACAGCATAATCTCTCTCTCCCTTTATCTCTCTATCAGTCTCTATTCTCCATTTTCCTCTTTTTTTTTGCCTCTGGATCGTTTCTCCTCTAAAATGTCAATATGAAGGCAGTGCAGAGAGTGTATTGATAGCGTGACTGACAGCAGGCCAGTGTTACGCAGCTGTGTAAATGAATAAGACATGAGCGCACTGTCAGACTGCAAACATGTCTTAAGGGGAAAGTTTTTACATGCTCATCAGTAAATACAAGATGCATTCCTGTGTAGGGTGTTTCATGTTATGCAGTACCTTTTGTAATATATATATATAAATATATATATATGTGAGCAATACACTGCGGCCTCGTGTCTATGGCCGAATCACAGCTGTGCCGATATACAGCCATATCGCACTGCTACCCGTATGATACTACATTTATACAACAGTTCGACAGCACGAATGTGTAAATACATAAGAAACAACATTGGAGTGTCTGTAAAAACCCTCTTTTGTGCAGAACTACTTCCTTCCGCCACGGATTCAAATCTCAAGTTGACAGTTTAACAGTTGAGCCCAAGCCTCCGTTACTAATTCAAAAACATCACTTTAGAACTGGTAACGAAGGAACGTTGAGTTGCTTCATTGAAAACTTATTGTATTACTGTTTTAAAAGCTCAGTGTATTATGTAGAGTAGATTATTATGAGAGAGATGGACTGAGAGAGTGTTACCTGCATCTGATACAGCATTCATTCTTCAGCTCAATGTCATATTCACAATAAAACATTATAGGGATGTGCCTGAATCCGAATTCCATGTTTGGAAAGGAAATGACGTGTACTGATGTGTAATAACAGCCTGGTCTCATGTTTATACGTAGGTATTAATACGTAACATTTACAAGCACAAAACGTACATTTTTGTAAGTTTTTATTATACCCCCAAACCTAAACCTACCCATTTTATAGCGAATAAGCATTTTTATCATTTTATCAATAAGCGATTTAGATTTTAGACCCCTGCACAACAAAATGAAATGTTATCATTTCATAAGTAAACGAGTAAACAATTTAATAATGCAATTGAAAACAAGGTAATTCATATGACAACTAAAAACTAATAAAATTAATGCCGCGATTTCAATATTCATAAGGATTCATTTTTAGGTGTCGTCAATACGTCAGTTTTGTACGTTTAAATGCTGAAAATATGTAAGTTATTGTACGTTTAGATGCTGAAAATATGTCAGTATTATACGTTTTAGTGTCTGTAAAAACATAAGTAAATGTATGTTTTATAGAACCACATTTTACGTAAAATACATACGAATTATCATGAGATCACGTTGGGTTTATTTGTGTTCTTCAAGCCATCTCGGGTATTTTTTATAAGAATAAAGTATATTTATAATGCATTGTTAATCGACTTAGCCTTTTTTCACTGTATAGCAGTGGTTCTCAACCTTTTTTAGGCCAGCGCCCCCCTACCCATTCTCCAGGTCCCTTACCACCCCCATCATATAAAATGTAGTCTAATGGTCTTCACTGAATATTAAAGTTGATTATTATTTTGTAAATACGAGATGGGAGGAAAAAATATATTTCAATGCTTTCTCTTGCAATTATATAGTTTGGGTAATTATACTGTATATAAATTGCGGGTATCAGGGAGCCGCTATTAATATGCGGGCCATTGAAATCGCTTTTGAATGCTAGCTCACTTTCACTTTTGAGATTCGCGATCACACTTACTCTGTGTATACTACGGAGTGGCAGTAAGTTAAATTACTTACCACACATTTTACAAGATTAAATATTTGTCAGTGGTGCCAAAGTTCCTTTAAATTCCGAAGCAAAGATGTTATCTTTATTAACAATCCGCATATCTGAAGTCAAAACAAGTACATTCTCGCCTAAAAAACTTGTAAAACTACAATCCGTGACAGAAAAACAATATTATTTATAAAATTATAGTGAATTTGTGAGAAATACATCAAGCGGAGTGATACAAACGGTTGGTGATTGAAATGGTTGGAGTTCCGATGTTTCTAGAATATCTCACTCTGGGAAAAGGCTCTCAGCCAATCAGATTCGAGGACCAGAAAGAACTGTTGCACACACACAAGCAAACACACACACATATATAAAATGTTTTTGAAAAAAACATTTTTTTGTTTACTCTACAAGTCAAAAATGGGAATAATTAAGATTTTATGTTTTTAAAAGAAGATTTTTATGCTTACCAAGGCTGCATTTATTTGATCAAAAATACAGTAAAATATTAATATTGCAAGATTTTATTACAATTTTAAATAACTGTTTTCTATTATAATATTTTTTAATGAAATGTATTCCTGTTATAGCTAAGCAGAATTTTCAGCAGCTATTGACATGGAAATATATTGCAGAATAGGAATAATTGGATACTGTATGTTAAATAAGAAACATACAGCATGTCCACTTCTTTCGCCAAACACAAATCCCGCTGTTCAAGAGCCATCCTTTTCTCTAGAATAATTAATCCACTTAACAGCTGACTCTTCCGTCTGTAAATCCATGTGGCTGGTGATTTTCTTAATTAAATCCTAGGCTGTGTCTTGAAGGCAGACTCTCAGCATCATGACAAAGGGCATTAGCTCCATATCTAATGTGTTTAAGTCACACAAAGCCATTTGGCATAATAGAAAAGCGACCCAAGGCTAATCAGTGCTAATCAATTGGATTGAAATGCTCCTCAAAAAACGATTGAAATTCTTGTTGAGAACATTATGCTGATACTGTAACTGTGACCAATTTGAATTTCGAAACCTTTGATGATCTTTTAGTATCTGGGCACTGCCATCTGTTTTTTAATATTTCATCTCATTCATTCATTAACATTTATTTTTAACACAAGCAATACTGCTACTTTTGATCATACTTAAGGTTACTCTTAGTATAAAACTGTGTTTAATTTGTCCCACATAATTTGTGCTGCGGACATGAATGATTCACAATGGTGCTACTGTATTCGAAAAACACTGGATCCTTGCTATTTATCAAGCTGTATGCTAAAACACTTAATTGGTGAAAATAATCTTTCATCCCATTGTGATTGGCAGCCTTCTGCTGTAGTGCTGGAGAAATGTCATCAGACAGCTGCAACATTTGCATTAAAAATCCTGAACTGTAATCAATAAATATCCATGAGCACCTGCATGCACTTTAGACTGATGGCGGCGAATGTGACGCTACTGTAGTACAAAGCTGGCTAATGAATACAAGACTGCTATTAAATCTAATTTAAGAGAAAATTAGAAAATGTACTATAATTAAGAGGTGATTAGAGCATAGACTATAATTTAGATAATTACTGATAGTCTCCAGTTATATTTCTGAGACACCCATGAAATCTTACTTATATACACGTTATATTGCTTCATTTTATCCACTAGAATTCAATATTAAATAAATGTGTTTGTTGATTTCACCTTGCTTGTTTCTTTCGCAGATCCTGCAGTTTGGCATCAAAGTAAGGGTGTGTGAATCTAAAGGACACGAAGGAAAAGTAAAACAGAGAGCAAATCTGGCAGCTGTCTTCTAATATGTTTAAACACAGACAGTCTGGACTTGTCACAGACAGAGGGTTTTAGTTTAAGCTAATGTTATATGACATTGAATCGTCAGAAAGGCTGAGGTGGGGAAACTCTGGGGAAACAAAGTAACAACATTAACCTCTGCTTCTCAAAGGCACCCTTTTATTTTCAACCCAACTTGTTTCTATAGCAACAGATATGAAAATATATGCTGAACTTTTCATATTGCGCCTCTCTGATAACTGTAAAAATGCCGCTGGAAATTTCAATATGAGACGACTGAATCTGTGCATAATAAGAGATAGAGAGAGAGTTTTATGATAGAGGTTATATCTTTCACAATTCTGGTGTCACCTATTATTAAAATGCATCTGATCTAATGTTAATTTGATTTAATAATTTATATACAGTTTTATTATTCAGAATACCTGATTCTGTTTGGTCAATCACAGCATTCAGCAATCTGATGTTTTGTAAAATAATCACCGTCATACACTATGTTGCAGTCCAATCTCTCGTCAAATTACCTCAGAAGACTTAAAGGGATAGTTCACCCAAGAATGAAAATTCTGTCATCTTTTACTCACCCTCATGTCATTCCAAACCTGTATGAATTTTTATTTTTGGGTGAACTATCCCTTTATCATTATCATTATCCACCTTATTCTTCAACGTGGAAGTAAGCCGTTTTCTGTCAATGTGCGAGACTTCCGGTTCATTAGCCACTGTAGGGAAATAATTAGAAGAATAACAAAGTGCAGTAAATGGTAAAACTGTTTGAACTACAAACCAGTGTTTTCATAATTAAGATAATACATTAAAATAATATAGTAAGACACACCAATTTGCAATATCATGTAGCAAAACGAGCTGTTTTGCACAGCTAAAAATAGCTGGATGCAGATGACCCTGGAAGCCAGACCCATAAAATTTACAAATGGCCAGGCCAACTCTTACGGGAAAATAAGGTGGATATTGTTGTAGTGTTTGTCTTATGGGCTGTTTGTATGTTGTAATGAACTGTATTTGTCGTAGCTTACAATATAAAGGTAAGATTATAAAACAGTTTTATTTATCTGCAGTTGTTTTAGTGCTTGTATGTTGTATTGTTTTTTCAGTAATGTTGACACAGTTGGATGAGAACAAAACTAAAACTGAATTAAGCTGGATGATGACACTTTTGTCTTCTGTAAAGCTGCTTCGTAGCTCAAATGAACTTGTTTCAAAATGAATGAACTTTACACTGTTATTGATCTGACTTGACCTTAATTCTGACACTGTTGTCTATTTTGGATCTGCTTTACAGTAGAATCTGAATTGTCTCCATAATTGACTTTTCATATTGATTCTGCCATTTACAAAACAATCTGTATTGTATAAAGTGCTATAGAAATAAAGGTAACTTGAATTGACTTATTTGGCTACGATAATGACCAGCACAAGCCTTTTATTAGCCATTTTTGCCCCAGCTGTGTCACATAGACAAAAGTGACATTATTATTGACGTCATGCATTAGTAACCACAGAATAACATGAAAATTGCTCTAGTATGCATTCTTGAGGTCCAGCACTTACAGTAAGTAGGGCAGTGTGTAATAGAAATATTGCATAACAGACAGGTAGTATTTCTAAATGGCTGTTTATGTGAAAGTACATGAGGTAAGGCAGTTACATTAATAATTTGTTGCCTTTTGTTTGAAGGAGAAAGCTTGAGTCTGGTGGATGTGAAGAGTAGGTTGTGGCCTTGGTGCTAAATATCGTCTGGCTATATTCCATTTGTGCTTACAAAACAGTAGCCGGTAATCTTTTTATTTGCCAGATCTTTATTTCACCATGCACTTTGCACACATACTTTGTGATTCTAGATATAATGATACTTATTAGGAGATTTGTTAGGGTTCAGTTATTATTAATTAAGGTTTTCTTTATTTTTTTATTCTTTAAACATTTGTCGTATAAGTGAAAAGGAACACATTTATGGTTTGATATCTTTGAAGGGGCCTTTATTTTTACTGATAAGGCTGTGGGGGTACAACTAATTCGGGAAGCACTGCATTAAAATAAAAACTTTTTAAGTGGGATAGCATTCAGAAAAGACTCTCTTTGTATTTCTCTTTTTATGAGACCTTTTCTTTTGTGTCTGAGACCTCGAATATTCACTGTGTTCTGGTTTTGGAAGTTTAGGGGATGACAATTTACATGTTATGCAATGTTGACATACAGTACAAAGAAATCCTGAAGAGCTTTCTTTTGTGTTGCTGGCATCTTCATACTGACTTTCCCATACTGACTTTCGCTTCTGAGTAACTGCCTGAGGCACAGACCAGTCAGGCTCCATTGCATATCACATGATCAAAACTGAAACACTCTCACATACAGCTGGCAGAAGTGTCTCAGGTTTACTGAGTGAAGTGACTCGCTTTGCAATATCATATAGATCTAGCACTTCAGTGTCCTTCAGCACCTAGATACTCAATGAACTCTCTCATAGAGCCACAGTTTTAGTACATGCATATTTTACTAATAAACCACCACTATGACAGTAAAAGGGTTAATGTTTAATAACAGCAAGAATAGAAAGTCATAGTTTCATGAAGTGCTGCTGACAATGTTGCACCCATGTCAGATATAGAGAAGGCTAGTTCCCTTTCAGTCGGTCACTACGAGTCACGTCGTGACCGACGAATTGGGATATCGCTTCGATAGACCAATCTACTTCGAGTGTAAACTAAACGAGCCAATGCACATTGGCATGCAATTATTGCATCCAGCTGCCGCTGATCACAGCGTGAGTATAATAAGGCAGCAGGTGCAATGCATACCAGCTTTTCGCTTCGGAGCCGAGCGACAACATCGTTCTGCTCTATGTTATTTCAAGAACTACGAGTTCAGCAAGCTCTCGGAAGCTTTCTGTGTTGGCGGGACGGCGCTTCAGCGGTGGTCGTTCCAGTGTCGAGTGGGTTGCGCACTTCAGGCTGCACTACCCCCTGTCGTGTTGCAAAGCGGCCATCTCCCCTGTGCGCCTCAGCACTAAAAGAGCAAATTTCTCTAAAAGAGCTACACGGGTGCGTCTTTATAAAGACGACGGATCGTCCTTATAAGGATGCCGTTTCACCCGTGCGTTTCTGGGTGCGGTCGTTACCTGGCACCGGGTGATGGTCACGATCGCTGCCTCACGTGTCTGGGCATCAAGCACGCTGAGGTGGCCTTCGTGGATGAGTCATGTTCTCATTGCGGGAAGATGACCATCTCGGAGCTGCGCACCAGGCTCCGCTACTCGCAAGGGGGCGGAGTCCCGTTGCCGCTGCCGCGATCTGGGGCTCGTTCTGGCGGAAGGCAGACGAGAACCACTTCCAGCAGTAGCGCGGGCGGTTTGAGGGTTACAGTGATGGCAAACCCCGCAGGGAACCAACCCTCTGGGGACCATCACTCATTTGAGACTGCTATTATTTCATTGTGAAAATGGGAATGCAAAATGTTGCCATTAGGTTTCTCGGAGATGAGGCAAGTGAGAAGGGTGAGACTAATCGCTGCAGTATGCTAAGCGTGTGGTGATAACTGCCTTAATTTGTGTTATCAGATGAATTACATTTTCATGCTTAGACCTAAGTGCCAGACCTAACTACAGCTTTTTTGTTTTTGTTTTTTTTGTGAAATTGTCACTTTTTGGCTTTTTCTGTACATTACATGTACAGTACATTAACTATTCTGTCCGATGCACTAATGCAAAACACAATTACTACCACAACATTGAAAGATAAAAATGGTTTCATAGGGTTAGGGATTAGCATATTTGTTTGTGTGTTTCGTTTTATATTTTAGTGTAGATGTTTTTTTAAATCTCTGAATAACAATAATCTGAATAAAAGTCTGTCCTGCAATTGTTTTAGTTATAAGAACAATACTAATTTTTTATGTGTTTGTGTGTGTGCGTGTGTACTTGTTTGACTATACTTGTGAGGGCCAAATTTCCTCACTTACTGTATATATTTCACTAATATTATGACAACCCACTAGTAAGGACATTTTACTGGTCCTCACTAGTTTAAAAAGCTTATAAATTGGACAAAACATGTTTTTATTTAAATCCATTGTTTTGCACATGTTTCTGTGAGGGGTAGGTTCAGGGGTAGGGTTAGGGGATAGAAAATATCATTAACCCGATACAAAATTAGTGGAAGCAGTTAAGGTCATTACGGTTCAAAAATCTGAGGTCAGTGCAATTACTTAAAATGTTTCTGAAATGCTCAATACAATGTAATATATATATATATATATTTTCTGTTTAAATATATTTTAAAATGTAGCATTTATTTTAAAATGCAGCATTTATTTCAAATATAAATCTTTTGTAACATCGTCACTCTTAGTTATAAATTTAATGCATCCTTGCTGAATAAAAGTATCAAAGCCGTGGCTGAGATTCTGCGCTATTTCAACTGGACTTATGTCTCCACAGTTGCCTCAGAGGGCGATTACGGTGAGACGGGTATTGACGCCTTTCAGCAAGAGGCCCGGGCCTTGCAAATCTGCATTGCTACGTCCGCCAAGGTCAGTCGCTCCATGGACCCCTACAGTTATGAAGGAGTAATCAAATCTCTGTTGCAGAAATCCAATGCTAAAGTAGTAATCCTCTTCACCAGAAGTGAAGATGCAAGAGAGCTCCTGGTTGCAGCAAAGCGAATGAACGTCTCCTTCATCTGGGTGGCCAGTGATGGTTGGGGGGCACAGGAGAGTGTGGTGAGAGGGAGTGAGAGTGTTGCAGATGGAGCTTTTACCATTGAGCTTGCATCTTATCCAATCCCTGAATTCGCAACATACTTCACAAACCTCAATCCTTATAATAACACACGTAACCCCTGGTTCAGAGAGTTCTGGGAAAATCACTTTCAGTGCAGTCTGCATGATATTAATTGTGGGAAACATTCTCTCCGGGATGGCAAATTCGAGCAGGAGTCCAAGATCATGTTTGTGGTGAATGCTGTCTACGCTATGGCCCATGCCCATCATAACATGAGACAAGCAGTGTGCGCAAACACCACCAAACTCTGCAGTGCCATGAAACCAGTCAATGGAAAAAAGCTGTACAAGGACTACATCCTGAAGACAAAATTTGATGGTGAGTTATAGCTTCAAAAGTTTTATTTTATATATTCTGTCATTATTTACTCACCTTTGTGTTGTTCTAATTCCATAGAGTTTTCTAGCTTTCATGGAAACCAAATGATGGTTCATGTTGCGAAATGCTCACACTGTTCATTTTCAAAAGCAGGTGCCCCAAAAGGACTAAAAAAACCCATAAAACTCATAAAAGTGGTCCATATGACTTTTGCCATATTTTCCAAGTTTTCTAAAGCAATACATCAATTCTTCGCTTTGTGCGAAGAACGGACTAAAATGTTATGTTATTAACCAAAATCTTCCATTATAGTGAACAGATCTAGTAAACATCATAGTAAACTATATATATACTGTATATTGAAGGATATACCTGTAAATAAAAAGCCCTAATATTTGAACTTTTTTTTTTTGGTTTATTTAACCATATTTATGGATGGAATCTTGGGATATCTATTCATATTCACCCCAAGAAAGAAAGTTTATATTTGCACTCATCCAGTAGTTTATCTCAAAGTAAACACCAGTTGAGCAGTATATCTATGTCTGTTCTTTATTAAGTCAAAGAAATCAATTTGAAAGATAAATGGATCTAGGAAGTTTCCCTCAGGGGAAAACTGCTGCTGTAAAATAGATTACACTAATGCATGAATGCAACATATGACCTGCGTACAGTCTAAGTGTTTTATTACATGCATTAGCCTCATTAGCCCCATGCTAAATTCTGAATGATTTAAACAAGTACAAGCAGGGATGTATAATCAATGTTTGTGTCGAGTGGTCATTTGGTTGTATTAGGGAACTAATGGAAGTCTGTCAGTTTCCTATATTCTTTATCTATTTTAAAATCTTTTTGCCATCTGACTGCTTTTTCATGATGTTCTTCCAAGAATGCCAAATTACATCATAGAAACCAGGCGATGTATCAACCTCCCGACCTCAATTATGTAAATGTACCATTCGCACCTGAGTCCAGTGCATCTACAAACCTAATGAGAAATGTGCCGGGCAGGATGCTGAAGCAAGTAGGGCGGACTTACCTAAGAAGGTCTTTCTGGGTTGTAAATTTTTCTGCCTACAAAGAAAAACACTTTGCTGCTGTAAAATATCTATTCATCTGTTGCCAAGAATGTAAATAAATTATGTTTATCATTTGCACTTTGTGTCTGCAGCTCCATTTCGCCCAGCTGATACAGATAACATTGTTCTCTTTGATGCTTATGGAGACAGTCTGGGCCGATACAACATCTTCCATTATCACAAAGAGAATGACGAGTACGTCTATAGGAAAGTGGGATACTGGGCCCAGGATTTAAGTCTGAACACAAGTCTGATTCCTTGGGAAAGCCAAGTGGTGCCCACGTCCCAGTGCAGCGACCCATGTAGGAAAAACGAAATTAAGAGCATGCAGCCTGGTGACGTCTGCTGTTGGATTTGCATTCCCTGCCAGCCCTACCAGTACCTTCTGGATGAATTCACCTGTGCGGATTGTAGCTTTGGACAGTGGCCTTTGGACAATCTCACAAGGTGTTACAACTTACCCGAGGAGTACATTCATTGGGAGGATGCTTGGGCTATTGGGCCGGTCACCATAGCTTGCCTTGGCATGCTCTGCACACTCTTTGTCATTGGCCTCTTCTTAAAGAACAATGAGACGCCGGTGGTGAAAGCTAGTGGACGTGAGCTCTCCTATATTCTTCTCATAGGTGTCCTACTTTGCTATTGCATGACCTTCATCTACATCAGCAAACCCTCTGCCGTAGTGTGCACATTACGGCGGCTCGGCCTGGGAACTTCCTTCGCCGTTTGCTACTCTGCGTTGCTGACCAAGACCAATCGCATTGCTCGGATTTTCAACGGCGTTAAAGATGGTGCTCAAAGGCCGAGGTTCATCAGTCCAGCTTCACAGGTGGCCATCTGTGCTGCTCTCATTTCCTGTCAGCTCCTGGTTGTGGTGGTCTGGCTTCTGGTTGAGACTCCTGGGGTGAGAAAGGAGGTCAGTCCTGAAAGAAGAGACGTGGTGACATTGAAGTGCAACAGCAAGGACTCTAGCATGCTGATGTCTTTAACCTACAACTGTGTCCTCATCATCTTCTGTAACTTTTACGCCTTTAAGACTCGAAAGTGCCCAGAGAACTTCAATGAAGCCAAGTTCATCGGCTTCACCATGTACACCACGTGCATAATCTGGCTGGCTTTCCAGCCAATCTTCTATGTTACTGCCAGTGACTATAGGGTAAGTAAATTAGAACAGTGCAATGCAGCAATACATGCCATTTCCTCACCAACAACACTCAATAGCTTGTCAGCTTCTTTCAATGAAAATAACCTCTAAATCAGAGCTTTATGTTAGAGTCAAAGTGAAATGTCATTTGCAACCTATTTTACTTCCATAATGAGTGCAACAGGATATTCAGCAGGAAAGAATTGTAGAAAAGTGGCTTCGTTCATTTACTGGATTGTGAGAAGTGTTGTAGAACAGTATGGGGTCAGGTGGTTTGGAGGAGAAAGGTTGAAACTAAGAGGGATTTGTAAAGTCAGCCCAAGAAAGGAAAGTCCTTTTAGAAGTGGAGTCAATTATATAATAATAATAATAATACAATTGTTTTTCAAAAAAATATTTTGAGCACCAAACCAGCATATTAGAATAATTTGAAGAATGCAGTAATGGCTGCTGAAAATTCAGCTTTAAACATCTTACTAGATGTGCATACATATTATCATTGCACAATAAGACCAGGAGCATGTCAAAAACAATCATTTAGATTTTTTTGTTCACTCTAAAGATGATATCATAGTGGAGTTTTGGCTATGCTCCCTCAATGTTGTTAATGAATGCTTTGCCTGAGTGTTCTGTATAACAATGTGATTTCTTTAAGAAGTAAATCATGTGCCGAGGGGATATTACCGGCTCTCCTCTGGGAATATATATCAGAGGGGCTGTTTCAAATCACACTGCACACACAATGACAGCATGGAATATTTTTCATCATTTCGATAATGAGCTTCTCTTATAACCCTTAATCGGTTTCCTACAACTGACTTTGAGTTGGAGAGCTTGCCTGATTGATTTTTTTTTTTTATGTTACCGTACCTACCAAATCAGATGGCAGATAGAGAAATCTTTTTGATCACCTGTCTTTTGCACTGATGAAAGGAGAAACTCACATGTGGCTCAAAAGCTGTTCAATGTAGGGCAAAGAAAGTGGGGATATTTCATCCTAGCAAATGACTAGCCTATGAAAACATGCTATTCAATTGGTCAAGTACCTCGGGATTACAAAGAAATCAAAAGAAAAATATCTTAATGTTTATTTTCAATTCAAATTATTATCTAACATTGTTATTAATATTTGGTTGGTTAAAATTGCACTGTAGTGAAAATTGTGAATCAAAGCATTCCAGTGCAGCACAAATTTTTGCAATATAATTTTATATAGTAATATGTCCAAAATAGTCTAACATCACAGTACTGGTAAAGACAGTCAGCACTGCTGGTCAAACAGCTACTGTATAATGTATTTGGATGCTCTAGTGAGCAAAAAGAAGGATAGAAACATGATCCAGAGATGTTAATGGCTGTAGGGGGCTTCTGCAAGTGTTGGTTCTACATCATCTATCAAGACTAGAAAGAACACAGACAAAAAGAGACAAAAAGGCATCTGGAGAGATGTCCAAAATAGTCTGACATCACAGTACTGGTAAAGACAGTCAGCACTGCTGGTAAAACAGCCACTGTATAATGTATTTGGATGCTCTAGTGAGGAAAAAAGAAGGATAGAAACATGATCGAGAGATGTTAATGGCTGTAGGGGGCTTCTGCAAGTGTTGGTTCTACATCATCTATCAAGACTAGAAAGAATACAGACAAAAAGAGACAAAAAGGCATCGGGAGAGAAAAGGGAATCTCCTTGAGTTCTGATTGGACGGGATGTAATTCTCTGTTCAGGGTTTCTGCGTTTTGTATTTGTGTGTGTGTGTGTGAGAGTGTGAGGTGATGTGTTAGAGCATGGGAGGATGATGCCCAGAACTATTTCCATTTGCAATTGGGTACTTGCCAGTGCGTTTGTTTGTGTAGTTACCAGAGTCGCTTCAGATACCAGTCTTTCACTCTTGAGATATTTTGTTAAAGAACACTCTTTAACAACAAAGAACTATAGAAGTGTGATATTCTATATGAAAATTGCATGTTTAGGAAGACAAGACCAAGTCTTGCTGGGAAAGGATATAAGACCTTGTCTAGCACAGCTCTCCTCTGCATTATTTAAAAGCACTTTGGTTTATTCTGACACATTGCCGCTCTCACATAAACACATTTAAATCTAACATACTGGAAAAAATAAAGAATGAGCGACTCTTTGTTCATTTGGCATTGAGAAGAAAACTCTTGCAATTATTTAACAAGGTCGTATTGAAGTTTCTCCAATCTGCGACCCTGAGAGGGCTGTTAACCGGAATGTTTTGTGATCCAGTTCAGATCAAAACAAGCAGTAGTTAGCTGTTTATACTCAGAATTAAAAAAAAGAAACCTTTGTGTAATGAAAATCCTCTTGTTGCCCAACTCGAAGAGCATAGCAATGCCAAGGCCGTGGGGTTTGTTGCAAACCCCAGGGAATGCACATACTGTTAAAAATGTATAGCTTGACTGCACATCGATTTTGATAAAAACATCTGCCAGATTAAATGTACAACGATACAAGCAAACATCTCAGCCAAAACAGTGAAAATCTTAGAAATAGTTCCTGTTGATTCACCCCCTCTCTCATCAAAATGTTATTAGTATGCATGAGATTGCTCAGACACGGCACACACACCTGCTTTGTACATGGATTCATCCTCTTAAGATACATCTTCAGCCGCATAGGCTTTGGCAACACTTTGGAATTGAGTTCAATGGAAAAATAAATTCAATCCATGTTAACATCCTTGACGAATATGAATCAGCCAGTCAGGTGGTATCACTGTGTAAATGTAAAGGTGGTGTAATCACTTTTTTGTGTCTACTCTCTCAGGTACAGACCACTACCATGTGCATCTCTGTGAGTCTGAGCGGTTCAGTGGTGCTGGGCTGCCTCTTCGCTCCCAAGATCCACATCATCCTCTTTCAGCCTCAGAAGAACGTCACCACGCTCAGAGTGGCCACCACTCGATTCAGTGTGACCACTGGCCCTGGCTCCAGCTTCTCTCAAAGTACAGTATTATTTACTATCTCTGTCTTCTATCTCTATCAGAATCATCAATATAATCAACAGCAGCTGTTTAAATCAAAAATATGGATTAACTGTTGTCACCCATATTAAAAAATATGGTTTGCCAATGTCTGAACCACCATCAGAAATGAAAGATATTGATCAAAAAATTCAGTACTGTATGATGGCGAAGTAATATTGGAAAATAAACATAAAGTATAATTGATTCTGTGAGTGCAGGTATTTGGCTTTATTGCGTTGCACTGATACTACTGCAGCATACTGTATTGGAATCTGACAAAATGGTTCAATAACATATTTCACCCTCCCCCCCAAATAAATAAATAAATTAGTATTATAATATAAAACTTTTTTTTTGCATTATGATACAATTATTCTCATTACCATAATGCAAAAATACTCATTCTCAATAATGTACTATGAAAATAATAATTATATATTTTTAAATGGAAAAAAAGTATTTGTGGTTTTAATCAATTAAAAAATATACCACAGGGATTTATGCTGTATTGTAGTAATAAAAATGTAAGGGGAACTGAGAATAAAGAAAATTACAAAAAAAAAAAAAAAAAAAGCAGTGTACTAATTTGTTCCCTCATTTTAATTAAATCAAAACAAGGAACAAATTAATACAAAGTGGCCATGATTTACTAAAACAAGGGAAATGAATTGATAAGTCACTGGAACATATTCTTAATTCAAGGCTACGATTTAATTAAAACTAAGAAACAAATTAATAAAATCAGTGAAGGAATTCATTACCATCTCAGATGTGTAATATTTTTCTAATAATTTAACGGCACGTTGTCAATTATTCCACACACACACACACACACACACACATATATTTGTCAGCATGTTATGTGCAGGGCTCTGAATTAAAGAAAAAAATTATGATTTAATGAGATTCACCAAAATACTTGAAACCATATATTGAATGGCAATGGTAATACACTGTGATTTGCAGTTTACAATATCTTTGTTATTAATAATGTCTTTACAGCCTCGGCCTCCAACATTGTGCCTACAGTATGTAATGGCAGAGAGGTAGTGGACTCAACAACATCCTCACTCTGAGAAACAGGATTCCTGTTTGTTTGCCAAAAGCGGTATACAGATAAATCTTATCTTCACTAGTCATGAAATCAAGTGTTTGCTAATGTTGAGGAGGCTATTCAGAATTTTAAAAATGCCTGTTATGTTGTTCTCAACGTGCTGTGAGTACAATATCTCATTTTGTTTCTCTCTCTCTTTCTCTCTCTGGCTAGTTAGATAATATCAGTGGGATGCCAGTTTAAACTCTGTATACCTGTTCTTTTTATGGAAACCATAATAAAGTATTGTTTGAGATATGGAGTTAAAATGTAGTAAATCTGTTTAAAGTATTATATACAAGATGTTTTAAATGTAGATTTATGGTGATTCTGGTTTGTGCTTTCTTGTAATTTATGTAAATAAAATGTGTTTTATATGAATACAAGCTCTCCTGTTTGAGGTTTTATAGTACTGCAGTAACTATGGTATTTTGACGTAAACAGTTACTGAGTAAATGTTTGATTTCTGAACGCCTGGGCAACGAAGGGGTGTGAGGTTGACGTAAACTCGCTCAGAAACACGGAAGTCAGGCTGCAGACAGTCCCGAAGTGAGAGAGTGAATCTGCAAACTTGGACAGCACGGACACTAGCAGGTCAGTATCATTTCGTATGACTAATAATAAAATCGCCAGTCATTTTTATCAGTCATATTGCACTGTAGACTATATGTTGCTACAGGTATGTAATGCTACAGCTGCAGGTGTGCATAAAGAACACTCAGTTTAGCTCCAAGCTTTGCGTTAACAACATAGCACCTGACTCGCCGCGATTATGAACACGATTTCACATATATGACATTTTATGTTTATTCGTGAACATATTTGTCAGTTAGCAAATGTTTTCATTGTTGACTAGACACACCCCCGTGGATAGGCTGCGAGGAAGATCTACGTCACTTACAGTAAACTCCAGCATCTGTCTCCAGCACATGTCTCAGCAGTACTGTGTTGATTTATTATTAGCAATCTTTTGAAATTTGATATCATACCATTGAAACTTTTTATCAAACGGGATGGTTGCTGTTGATTAGAAACAGGAATAAAGAAATCAATATTTGGATTTTTTTTTTTTTTTTTACAAATTCCCAGTTGTTCATTATAGAAGTTACACGTGCATTACAAAAAGCTTCTCAAAGGTGAAATGTTTAGTTGTGATATTGCAATGAAAAACTACTTAAGATTTCCATTTATAAAATGTATTTTAGAAATTTTGAGATAAATATGAACGGGACATGAGTCATGACACTATACCATATAAACATACCAAATATAAACATTATGATTAATTATGAACAGAGAGGAAAGAGGATGGCGCCTAAGAGAAGGGCAACATCAAGCACCAAAGGTGGAGGGAAGAAGGTTAAGGAGGAGCCTGAAGCTGTCCCGAAGGACAAGTTCACTTCTGCCAAAGAGGCTCTGAAGGCAACAGGTCCACAGGTGAAGGGCACGAGGAACCCAGACATCTTCTGTCGTCTATCAAATGCTGAGGTGAGACTGAACAAGTAATTCAATTGCAAATTAGTAATGCAAATGTAAAAAGTAATGCAAATTATTACTCAAATTACTGCTTGCCCTGAATCACAAAAAAGTTTTGATCTAAACATACAGGTTCACGAAGATTACGACTGTATGTTGAACCAAACCAACATTGGAAACAACAATAACAAATTCTATGTAATCCAAATCTTAGTGTCTGGAGGAGAGTACTATTGTTGGACAAGATGGGGCAGAGTGGTAAGTTAGTTTCTTTTGTTTGTCAATCATATATATCACAACATGATGTGCAAAAATGGTCTTGTAGCATCTAATGGATGACTTATTTTTGCTATCTTTCACTGTTTCAGGGAGAGTCAGGCCGAATCAATTTAGCCGGTCCATCTACCGCTGATGTAGCCATTAAGAGTTTTGAAAAGAAATTCGAAGAGAAGACAAAAAATAATTGGAGCGATCGAGAAAACTTTGTCTCGCATTCTGGGAAGTACACATTGATAGAGGTAGATTGCGACCAGGATGCAGAAGTGAAGGTATTAAGCCTGTTTGTCTTTTTTTTTTATTATTATTCATTTATTACATCCTTGATTGAACCTTGAAGTTTTCAAAAGAATAACACATTTGACCATTTCTAATATTTTGTGTTTCATGCAGGTGGACACTGTAGATGGTGGAGATGTCAAGGTGAAAAGTGAACAAGTTCTGCCTTGTACATTGGATGAGGCAACTCAAAGACTCATTCGATTAATCTTCGACAACGACATGTTCAAAGAAGCCATGACCAGCATGAACTTGGGTTAGTTTATCATGATATAGCATTGAATCGTTGAATGGACTGTAAGTCCCAGTTCTTCTGTTCCTTTCAATAGCCATGTTATTGTGGTTCTTTTTGATAGCTGAGAAAAATAAGTTATGTCTTTTAAAACTCTATGAAGACTGCAGTTCACTCAGGGATTCATTTCCCATTTTACATGTATTTCTGAAAGCCACAGGGGAGTTTTGGCAGTGTGATTGTGAACTGAAGATGGAACTTTTTGCTGCCTTTTTGATTCCTATCTACCACTTGTCTGTAACATTGAATAAGATCAATTTTTATGGAGGAGTTTCATGTTTCGCACATTTCTCTGTCAGATATTAAGAAGATGCCCTTGGGGAAACTCAGCAAGCAACAGATAGCCAAAGGCTTTGAGGCTTTGGAGGAGATTGAAGCTGCAATAAAGAAGGGGGAACGGAACAAGTTAGAAGAACTCACCAACAAATTCTTCACCATAATTCCTCATAACTTTGGCCGAAACAGACCCCCAGTCATCTCTGATGATTCTGTCCTTCAGGGCAAAAAAGAGATGCTTTTGGTGAGATTCACAGCAGTTAATGTGTACCGAGTTTGATGAAATAGTGGCTAGTTGTCACACTTTTTACTGTATTTCTCAGACAGGGTTATTGGTTAGTCAAATCATACATAGGCCAAAAAAGTATTGGCTACAAAAAACACATCGATCTTGTGTATTAGATGAATGAGCAATGTAAAGTGCTTTGCCATCTGGATAAGAATTACCAAAATCCAAATTTCCCTAATATGCTTGTATCTTGTAGGTTCTTGCAGACATTGAGGTTGCCCAGAGTCTTAAAGCTGAATCCGAGAAAGCCAAAGAAGAGATGAAGGACATGGTGCCTCATCCAGTTGACCAAAATTACCAGTCTCTAAAATGCAAGCTAAGCTTAATGAATAAGAAGTCAAAGGAATTTAAGGTTTCCATGCACAGAAATCTATACAGCCTGAGTCTACAATGGGGAATCTGGGATTCAAAATCTAATTTTAATCTGGAAATAAAATATATATATTTTTTAAATTATGCATTGCATATTATTAGCATAATACTGATCAGTTTAAAGAAGTTTAATTAGCAAGATTTTTAGTACGTGTTGACTACAGAATATGACCTAGTAATATTGCAAAACTATATATCTTTTTTCAATTGTCAACTTTTTATAAATTTCAGTTTATTTCCAGATTTAAATTAAAAATTACTGAATACATTAATACATATTAAACACATTGTGAATGATGTTATAAAAGTAATTGATCTTGAGTTGTGGTTTGAAATGCAGTGCAGCACTCAAAAATGTTTTCCCTCTTAAGATTATTGAGAAGTACTTGAATGCCACTGGAAGAAAAGGACTCACTTTGGTGGATGTCTGGGAAGTTGAGAGAGATACAGAGGTGAATAGTATTGCGTAAATCAAGTTTAAAGCATAGTAAGCGTTATTAAAGTAAACAGTAAAACTGTAACTACAAAAAATCTTACTCTTTAAATGCATTGTAGTGTTTTTCTATTTGGACTCCTTTTAGATGCCCATTAGATTCCTAATTTCATTTCATACCAGCAGTAAGCATTTGGCCTCAGTGGGTGTTCTGAATTCTGTTCATTACTGAGTCTTCTTCTCCTAATGAAATCCTTTGTGTGTGTGTGCATGTGTGCATTTGTTTGTGTATAGGCTGAGCGTTTCAGGGAAAATTATGCATTGGAGAACCGGAAGCTGCTTTGGCATGGAACAAATGTGGCAGTGGTCGCAGCTATTCTGAAGAGCGGCCTTCGCATTATGCCCCATTCTGGTGGACGTGTGGGCAGGGGAATCTATTTTGCCTCTGAAAACATCAAATCTGCTGGCTATGGTGAGGAATGGGACTTTGTTTGCATCAGTATAGACTTCAAATGAAAAAGCACAATATAAACACATGTAGTTTAATTAGATACAACAAGGCAACACAGTGGCCAGGATTGCTTGGTAATGTGGTAGACATTACTAATAGGCACTTTTATTTATCTCTGAAATGATGTTTTTTTTCTTTTCTTTTTGTGTTTTCAGTGCATCCATCCAACAACACTGGCATCATGTTTCTAAATGAAGTTGCTTTGGGAAAAGAGTACACCATCACACAGGATTATCCCAGCCTAAGGAAGGCTCCCGCTGGCTATGACAGCGTAGTTGCACGCGGAAGCCATGAACCAGGTTTTTCCAGATGCAATCATTCCTCATTTCTCTTTTTATGCATGTACAGTATGTTAAATTCGGCATAACATTAGCTTGTTGACAATGTCTTAAATCTCTTATTTTTTTCTTTTCTTGTTCAGATCCTTCAAAAGATGTCTTCATTGAGTTTGATGGTAAAAAGGTGGCAGTTCCTCAGGGAAAAGCTATAAAACAACAGCAGTACCAGGGAAGTTCCTTCTTCAACAGTGAGTACCTCATCTATGAGGAAAGCCAGTGTCGCATTCGATACCTCCTGGAATTGAAGTTCGGTTACTAGAGCTGATTTGAAAACCTGGAACTATACAGTTATACATATATAGCCACTTATAAATGTCACTTCTGTTACGTGGTTTCACCCTTATAAAGCATTGAATATTTAGTTATAATCATTGTTATTTAATAATAATATTGTTATTATTAACAACACTATTGTTATTTTGTTAAGTTGAATGCTAAATTATGATTTTTGTGTTGTAGTAATGCAGTTCAGCAATGTTAATTTGACAGTACCTCTATCTATTGAGTCGGAAAGTCTAATAAATATTTCATCACTACATTACATCTTTATTATGTACTGTAAACTTACAGTATGTTTGCTCATTTTGCCAATCTCTCAGAGTGAGGTTTGAATGTCTTCCTATCATTACTCTTCTGTAACTGGCATGTTATTCATATTAGAAACATAACTGCAGGCTTCT